GTACGGATCGCCCCCGTGAATAGTACGGATCGCCCCCGGGCGAGGTCAAACACGGTCAACGAGGTGAACAGTAATCTCAACTTTTAAGAATTTTTTTATTTTTTTTTTTACTTTTTTATATGGGATCGCCCCCCATTATGTACGGATCGCCCCCGGGGGCGATCCGGGTGGTTATTTTGGCAAAACCTCTAAAATGTGGTTATTTTGTGGCAAAGGGTTGTGTAAAACGGTTATTTTTATAAATTTCCCTTAATTTAATTGTCTTTAACAGTTTTTTAATATTTTTTTAAGTAATGTTATAGCTATTCCTTAATTAATTTCTTTACATTAGTCTTCACATAATGTTTCCATTTAGTACAACATCAGAAAAATTTAATGTAGACTTAAATCCATGTTCTTTTTTTCCATATTTTCTTTGGAAAGAAGGCGATATGTCTAGCAACGTTTATTAATTATGTGAAAGATCATTTTTGGTGGCGGTACTACCACCGACAAGCATATCCTCCAAACTGGTGATGGCCAAACCGGTCCGGGATTGCTAGAGGACCGATGAGGACCGGTCGATTTGGGTGAACTAAATATGTATGTGTATACTAGCTTTGTGGTCGCATGCCCCGTAAATGATGTCGAAGATTTTTGAAAAAATTGATCTATTAGATTTTTGGAAACAAAAGCAACATCAATTCCCGATTTTAGCATTCATAGCACGTGATATACTAACAATCCAAGCTAGTACCGTAGCTTTGGAGTATGTTTTTTCTCTTAGTGGCATGATCATTTCGATACGTCGGACAAGACTAAGCTTGGAGTCCATGGAGTGTTGCATCTATTTGAAGGATTACGTGGATAGCATTGATAGAATTCAACACACGACATCGTTAGATGTGGAGATTGAAACGGTGGAAGAAAATTTGGAAGAAAATGAAATCGCCATGAGACTAAGCACGCCGCCAACTACCGACGACACTTACTCAGAATATGACGATGATGAGGAACTCGACATTGATGACCTTGATGACCAAGAGACTATTAGAAGAATTCAAGAGACTGGAACTCTTCAAATCAATCCGACATGGCTTACCGATGATGAATAAGTGTATTTTCAAATAATTGAATATTTGAATGTAATTTTAATTATAATAAAACACATTTTTAAAGTGTATTTGAATGACCAAATTACAAATTTTATAATATATTCAACAAATCTATCATTAAAAAATTAATTTTTTTTCAAAAATTAAAAAAAAAAAATTCGAGTGGGTATCGAGACAGGTTACCATAACCGGTTACAAAACACCTAAACCGGGCCTAAGTTTATTCGACAGCACCGGGATCGGTTACAACCGACACTGTTTCGGCCCGGGACCGGATTTTGGCCAATCACTACTTCAGACAGTAGCCAAAATAACATTAAGAGTTGAATGCAAATTTGGACCATGTGGTTTACATAAATTAATGGGTAAGGTCCTGAAAAGAACTTTAACAAACATCATTTAACGGAGTTGGTGCCAAAGACAATTATTAGAACGAAATGAGAACCACAAAGACGATTTCTAAAATTATCAAAGTTCAAGTACTACTTTCAAAAATTTCACTAAACCTCAAGGACCAAAACTAGAATTTACTCTAAATAAAAACTAACATGTATCTTTTCAAAATAGATAATCAAAACCCACATCAATTGAGTATTAAATCCAACCATAAAATAAGAGATATAATAAATAAAAACAAGTTATTCCATTCACAATAATTTAATGTTACCAACTTGAAATTGTATCAATAATCTATTTTTTTAATTAGAATGTTTAATGAAATGATATAAATATTAAACATTCTGATTAAAAAGAATAGTTTGATCTTACTTTTAAATGTGATTATTGTTATTTACTGAAAGAGAGATGGATAAAAATGCCCAGTTAAAATAGTTGAAGGACCAGTTACAAAAAGACCTATTGAGATCGGACTGATTGGTCCAGACCAATTCGACTATTGACTTGTTAGGGGGATGTATCAGAAATTTTGTTTGAAAATTTTAGTGCCACGTGTTGGCCTCCGATTGATCAACAAGTTTATGGTTTTTTTTGAAACAAGAATATATTAATGAGTCCCAACCGGGCAATTAATATCCATACAAGAAGTAAGAAAACTCGGCATGTCATAAAAACCGTGAGACAAGAAGAGAAACGGGATTTCTGCGCCAAAGTGTGGGCAACCCCATTAGCTTGTCACCCAACAAAGCACGCAGAGTAAAAATCTTGTTGAAGGAGCATAATACGGTACCTCGAGATAATATCCCTAAACTCAGAAACATCATTCCCTGAAGTATTGATAACATCAACTACTTGTTTGACATTTGATTCAAAGACTACCTTGGGAAACCCAAGTTTGGTCGCCCAAGACAAAGCTTCAAATAGTGCAAGAGCCTCACAAGCTTGACAAGTGGGATCCCTTCCACGTTAGATGTTCGAGCAGCTAAGAAATTCCCTTTATCGTCTCAAACACCGCAAATAGTCTTGCACATGACATATCCTCTATAATGACCACATATAAAAAATAATACATCTAAATAGCTGGGTACTACATGTCCACTCTCCATTTGGGACATGCCCAACAGTTCGATAAGGAGTGCACATCTAAAGAGAAATCTTTCATACCAAATAACCTAGTAACCAAAAAAAAAGAGACCAACTAATGCTAACGAAGCTGTATCCAACCGCTTCTTTCCCGCCTTCTATGCATCATTATTCAAAGATCCTCCTTGATGATATTCGGGTCTTCATCGGACCCGAATTTGTCATCCAAGTAATGATCGAACATATTAGGCAACATCATGATAAAATACACTTTTTAAAACATATTAGGGTACCTATCCTTTGGATTCTAAGTTACAATTTTTTTTAAACATATATCATTAAAATTGGTACACATGCGTCAAAAATTAAAATTGATTTTGAATCCTATTATTTTTCCCTAATCGCTATGTTGCAACATATAAAATTAATGCAAACATAAACTAGTTATGATTGGTTGGTTGCTGAATTATTATATGGTCTGTTGGAAGTATTAAAAAATGTCACTACTCAGTCATAAAAAAACATTCTAATTGGATATATACAGTTGCATTAATGGAATTAATTTAAAGTAAATAGCATCTTACATTTACCATATGTATTATTAAGAAATAATGTTACTAGAGAATGATTAAACCAACATATATATATATATATATATTAGAATGGTACTCTAGCAATGCAGCGAGATAAATCTTGATTTGAATATTTCATTTAATTCTTTATCTCAGTTTGATGTTATAATATGGTCTTATGTGATTTTTAGAAAAGCGATGATGTTTTTATTTTTGAATAAAATATAAGTTTGAAGATATCATAAAATTTTGACAAAAATATATCAATATTAGTATCAAATTAACTATTTAAAATTCTACATTTTTTTGTGTAATTTTTTAATTCAATTTTTTTTATAATTTAATTTAGGTACAATAACGAAGTAATTTATATTTTATTTAATAATATAATTTTCTTTTAAAGATAATAATTATTTATTTTGTTAGAACTCAATAATTATTCTAATTATATTTTAGTTAAAATGAGATGTTTATTCTTTATTTGATTATGTTT